CTGAAATCTTTTATGCTTAAGAATTATAAAGTGGATTTCTTAGGAAATTCCAAGGTTGCGTTTCACTTCCGAGTAACGGGCGGAGGTATGCAGTCTCTGAGTGCCCTCTAGTTATCTATGTACTTACTTTGGTTTGCTAACGCACCAAACTTTAACTTTTAATAGCGTGGATATATGTGCAGCTTCTTCTTTCAAGCCAAGATAGAGTAAAGGTAGACGGTCTTCTTAACGTGGATAGAACTTGGCCAATACAGGGCCCAAAACAACTATTGCTTACTCACAAGCGTCCGCGTTAAAGACTTGGGTAGACTGTTTTGTGCAAAAACAAACCGGAATTTACTGCGTAATCTACAAACCTATGATTTCGCAACGGACATAGCGTGGCTCGGCTAGGCAACCGCACTACGCATTTGCTAACCATACTTACGTATTTTGATGGGAACTTTTGCTAACAGCGGAAAATAACAACTTGTTTGTTTCCCATCGAACCCTTTCGAAAATATTATTTTGACCTTCCGTTTCGAAACCAACAACCCCATTTCCGAGCTAACCCATAAAGCTGTGCCATGGCAATGGACCAACACCCATCAATCCTCGTTTGACAAACTTAGGAAAATGCTAACTAGTGACTGTGTCATGGCCCACTATGACCCTGCAGCTCCCACTCAGTTACGTGTCGATACTATAGCCCTGTTGGTCTGGGGGCTATTTTGGCTCAAACCGAGCAGGGTGTGGTGAGACCCGTCGCATATGCCAGTCGAACGCTTACCCCAGTGGAATGCCGCTACTCCCAAACAGACAGCGCGCTACGGCGCGAGACCCCGTCCTCCAGCGAGTCCACCAGTCAGTCGTCTCGGGTAACTGGCAGAAAACTAAAGAAACAGATCCCTAGTTTTGCGTTAAATATGAACTGACAGCGACAGAGTCCTTACTTCTTTTTGGCTCGCGTATCGTGGTTCCAGCCAGTCTACAACCTACCACCCTACAACTGGCACACAGCTCTGGCGAGAAAAGTCTGGTGGCCCGGGATCGACAAAGACGTTTAACACTTGATTCGTTCCTGTATTTCCTGTCAGGCCCAGTCCTCCCAGTCATTCCCACAGCCACTTACCATGACAGAAATGCCTTCACGTCCGTGGACCGTCTTGCATGCTGATCTATGTGGTCCTTTCTCTAGTGGTGAGTCGCTTCTGGTTTTAGTTGATTCATGTTCTCGATGGCCAGAAGTTTTCATTTTAAAGAGCACAACTGCAGCAGTCATCATCATCGCATGAAATCGTGCTTCGCTGTGCATGGTCTCCCAGAAGCAATCGTTACAGACAATGGACCTCAATTCGTGGCTGAAGAGTTTGATTTGTATCTTCGAGAGCACGGCATCACACACCATCGAGTAACACCTTATTGGCCACAAGCCAATTCCGAAGTCGAACGGTTTAACCGCACACTCGAGAAGGCCATTCGCGCTGCAAATACCGAAGGAAAAG